CCCTCCCTCCCACATGAAAGGGAGTCCCTTCGGTGTCCTCTGGTGACATTGTTGGATGCAACCAGCCGATCACTTTGAGTGGCACCTCAACTCAGTACAGTATCACATATAGAGCAAAATGATTGGACAATAAGTCTGTGAATAGAGTCACGAATCTTGATGGGGCTGTTGCCGTTGTCTTTTCCTCCTACGCTTACGTCGCTTGCCGCCTTGCACAGGTGGAGGCGCTGTTGCCGAGTCTTCACCATCTAGCGCCGAGAGCCGTCCCTTGAGACGGATGGACACCAGCCTACCTGCTTTATTGTTCACCGCTGGACCCGCATCGCGATTCGACGATGGTGTGGTACTATGACTTGGCTGGGCGTCCCTAATACATAATCCATCCACTCAGCCATAATACGGATTCGCCCTCTACTGCGGATCCTTCTCATCCTCATTAATTCCCTCCTCCGCCTCGTTAGCTGGAGGAAAGGGCTCCTCCGTCAGCAAGCCTACGTACCAGTCACAGGCGCTCAGGGCAGAAGGGCTCTCTACCAGATGCTGTGTTATCTACATGAGCCTTCGGAAGTGTCCCCTCGTAGTGTTGGGGTTGGTACCGCTGATCGCCCGACAAAGCCGGCAAGTCTGTATCTAAGACCTCACATGTGTTTACTCCCCCCAGCCCATGGCCCGACTTTCGAGGAGCACCCGCCTGTCAAGCCGACCAGAGTCCGCTTCCTGATGATAGAATGACCACTAAGAGCAGTAATGCATTCAAGCTACCGAGTCTAGCTGAGTGTAGGGATTGCCTCGCCACTGCCAAGGACACCGACAGTAGGCTGATGATGATGATGCACACCAGTTGAATGCTGACTGCATTGCCAGGCTCACAAAAGGCCACAACTCAACATCCCCACTACGAACTCAAAGCAAGGTTGATACAAGGGTAGTAATAGTTCAATAAGAACATGGTAACGATCATCATGCACGAGCAAGGCAGTCGAGGTCACCTCGTGGGTGATCTAAACCTTGAAGATCCTCTCCGAGGGGAGGTATAACATGTCACCAACGCCAAAGCGTATACAAGATCAGCACTCATATTCTTGAGCTGATATCGTCTAGTCCGTACGCCAGCGACAACACTAAGATCGATCTGCGTGGGAGGGTCAAGCCTGAAGCTGGCCCTAGCCATCTCCTCGAGTGACCAGGTGGCAACCCTCTTGAAGCAGTTGGCATCATCGTAGAGAGCAAAGAACCCCTCAGCATTATACAGATCGATGGTAAGGAACATGTCACAGTCCGGGCTGATGGTAAGCCAGCCAGCAGTAAGCTCTCGACAACAGCATCGGCCGCCCTGCCGTGTTAGAGCAATAGCGTCCATCGCAGTCATGCCGGACAGCTTGGAGACACTCTCGAAGAGGAGGAGCAGTTCGCGGTTGTTACGATGGTCTCTGGTAGCTGGAGGGTGACGGTGTATGGTGACAGCAGGTGTCGACCATACAAGATCTTGCCTGTGCTCCTTGGGGCCTTCATGAAGCTGAAATTCTAAAGGACTGTATCTGTCCAGGAAGAGGGGCATACCCCCAATGATGCTCTTCATGACCTACGCTTTCCCCATGGGTATATAGCTTTTCGACATGGCACACTGCAAGACGTTATTCAAGCTGACCGGAGGGAAAAGTTCACCATTGAACTCCTCACAGTACTTCGCTAGGTCAGGACGACTAACGCCACCACAGACGAGGCGAATCTAAGTGGACTATATAAATCGCGCATTCTCTGAGTGAAGCCTTGCATGTTCCTCATCCTTCTTTCGACTAGCAGCCTCCTTAGCATTCGCCTGGGCCGACATCACTCGCCATACGCCAAAGTAACACCCAGCCAGGATGAGGAAGAGGACCTGTAGGGGGAGTGGACGACTTGGACAGAGGCCTACTAGTTCACCTGTGGCCTTCCAAAGATCTCCCATAGCCATAATATGGCGCTATAAAAGAGCCATGCTAACGTGTTGATGATGGTCATGAGGCTGCTGCTGCTGCTCATAAGCTTACACTGTAACCGAAATTCCCAATAGAATTCGGGCAACGCAATACGTTAGTCCCACGAGCAAATAACAAATAGAAAAGTTGGAAAAATACACTCTTTTGGGTATATCACGTCACTGGGACTAATACGAGGCGTATGCTGTCATCCTCAGGCTTCATAGTCAACCTAAAGATACTCCTAGGGTGCTGTGCAAGATGTAGACTTTCCTCATCCGGGAGCTGCAGTTGGAAGTGTGTGACGATAGCCGCAAGCATTATAGCAAGCTCAGCGATCGCCAACTGTCTACCCACGCAGACCCTGGGGCCAAAACCAAACGATAGCAGGTCAGTACCCTTCAGAAGGTCCTTATAGATAGCACTACTGGGATCAAGCCACTGATCTGGTTGAAATTCCGAGCCGTACGTGAGGACCATCGCCCCGTAGAGATTACAAACAATAACACTACCCTTAGGTAGAGGTGAACCACACAAGAGCACACCAGGACGAGCCGTCTCTAGTACAAGAGTGTAGGCGGCAGGCCGTAGCCTGAGGACCTCCATCACGCACGCATGCAAGTAGGGGAACTTAGTCTTATCCAAGACACTACCCGAGCCAGCTGCTAACTCCTGTCGGAGTTTGTCTTGCACTGTAGGGTATCTCGCCAAATACCAAAGCAGGTAACTCGCCGTACCAGCAGTAGTCTCGCTGCCCGCAGTGAGGAAGGTCAATAGATTGCCTTTAAGGCAGCCGCTGAGGGTAGGAGCTCCCGATAGGGTAAAGTGTTGGACTAGCGTCTGAAGAAGATCTTCCGGGATGGTGTCGTGACCAGAAGCAATAGCCATCTTCCGCCTAAGGATACAGTCAGCCAGCATTCTACTGTTCCTGCCAGCTCGGGCGGTTATCTCGTCGTATATCCTCCATATCTTCTTGAAGGGCCATATCTTGCCCCAGGGGGCACGGTCACGGAGGAGCTGAGGCAGGTCCTTTTCGATAGCTACTCGGATGTCCTCTTGCACGGCGTCATTCGAGCCCTTCTGGAAGCCCAGATCACGGCCGAGGGTCAAACGGCATATCACATCCAGAGTCAGCTTATTGAGATCCTCCTGTATTGTGCCTACTAGACTAGGTACCCGGTTCGATCCCTGGGCCCTCCATTTTTCCATCATCTCTCTCACAGCCTCCTCAATTATCGGAGCAGCTTGCTCGTTGACCTTCTTATCGTTGAAGGCAGGCGCAGTGAGACGCCTCAGCTCCCGCCACTCCTCCCCTTCAGCACTGAACAGGCCGTGAGCGCCAATACCATCAAAGGAGCGCTTCACCCGAAACCTCCTGATGAAGTCATGCGGACGGGCCTTAAGGACTTGCTCTATCTCAGGGACGCCAGAGAGAACAGTAGCCTTCGAGAAGAGGTAGCGAAAAGAATATACAGGGCCATATTCCAACGCCCATTGGTTAAACTGCTCACCCTCCTTACCACGACGAAGCCGACTGAACATACCTTATGAGGAACAGTACGACGAACAAGTAACTCCAGAATGAGTAGTACCGAATATAGGCGGCCCTCTAGGGCCTTTGAAGGGGAGGTCCCTGCCAGCAGCATTGTACCACAGCCGATACAGTGCATAGCATACTCCTCCTATTGCCAGCACCCTTTTCACAGCAGCTACCCTATCCCATAAGGCATCAGGTAGTATAGACTTGAGCCACTCCCATGGCCCCTCTAGCGGACCGATAAGCAAAAGCACCATTCTGAGAATAACAATGGCCAAGTCCCTTTACGGGATACCCCTCTCAACAAGCTGTAGGTGACAACACAAGAAATGTATGGCGTCCGAGACCGTACGCTTAACCTTGGAGTAGTTGTTGAGTAGTATGTGGTTAACATATGCGCCGTGGGCCTCGTAATCCTCCTATAGTAAAATCGATCGAGAATGCAATGATTGTACGGCGTGTTAATGTCTACTGAACTGGCCTCAGCCTACGTAAAAAATCGGCAGCGCGGAAAATGTGATGATGCTGTAGCCCCGTTAAAGCCTCGACTGGCATCAACAATAATACTAGAGGAGATACACAGACGAGACCGTCATATGTTGCTTATCGGGCAGCAACGGTCCGTGACAGCACCTACGGCTACATCAGTGCACACCAGCCGCATCCAAGGCTCTCTGAATGAGGTCGCCCAACCAGTAACTGCACATAAGAGGAATCATACTAAGGAGAAGGAGGAGTATAGAGACACTGCTTACCTAGCGGCGGCACTGAGAGCACCCTGCAGTAGCATGTACATGCCACCTTTGAGGGGATTCTGACTAACTACTTTGGATTTAACCACTCCAAGAACGAACAGTGTCAGCAGACTCGTGCATACGGTACCTATTGGGAGGGCCCGAGTGAAGGACACCGTGAGCATTCCAACGACACGTGTATCGATATGCAAGAGCAATAGGCTAACAAAGGCGTGGTATAAAAACCCAGTCGGTGATCGAATATTACCAAACTGGGCCGTTACGCTAACGAGCTGACTATAGGAACAACGTTCCACTAGGTCACGCGACATGTCGGCATCAAACGATGTCTTCATATACGCGGTATAATACACTATGAACTCGCCCAGCATACCCGCAAACGCGCCGGCTACTGGCAAATCCTTTATCAACATTATAAGGAGGAGATAAGACAGGAGGGGGACCTAAAAGACGCTATGGAGGGAGATGCTGTGGTAGGGATACTACCGAACCGAAAATCATAAATGAGCAAAACATGGCGAATCCTGATGCTGCAGCACTGTCTTCAGCGTCTACCGGGAACAACCCTGAGAAGTGGATGTTCGTGGGGGCAACTAGACCGATAAGTTCACCTAGTTCAGTGAGCATCATGTGCTCTATCCAAAACTCCTTGTATTTAGATAATGTCGTAGCCACTGTGATGGCATCATCCTTGCTTATACCACGCGTACGATACAGCTGTACCATCTCAGATATCTCCCCCTAAGGCACCATGAGTCCACCCCAACACCTACCACCACACCGACAAGATACCTCAGGATAGTTCTCGACCTCCCATTGCTCTCTATTCTGTTCCTTCACAGCAACATCAGTTTCGGCTTTAGCCGATACATACCTGAGCTTGGCGATAATAACGGAGCATGCCGTCCCAGTGCTCGTCGGTATTACTCGCCAAAGCCCATTCCAAATGCCCCAGCAACCAGGTTACCTACGCCTACAGCAACCATGTGGGCCAGAGTGAGCTGGGCTCCAACAGAGCCAGCGATGAGAGCAAACATTGTACCTGATACCGTAACAGGGTGAATGTTGCCGCCAATACTAGTAGAATTACTTATTCCATCGAGTCCTCCAAAGACCATGGGCTTGACATAGCGATTACCCGATGCTGTTGGCTCGTTGTGGTCGGCCATTTTAGCCAACAGCTCGTCCCTGAGCAAAGGCAGCAGCATCATCATAAGGTCTACAGGCAACCCCAATAGGAACCCTACGACATCTCAGATGTGAACATCTCATGAGCATTACGACTAGCTGCTGGATTCATATCTTCAAACGCTTGTCGTGCATCTAGCAAACAATGGTGAGAGTCATAACACGGATAAGGCGGTTTCTTACTGTTCACCCTAGTGTCCGTCAGTGCTTGGTAAGACACCTGGGATGACTGCTGATGAGGGGTCCCTGTTGTTGATCCATTATCTAACATATCTCTTAAAAGTTGACGTTATAGTTGACGTGAAACTAACTAAAGAAGAAGGAGAATATGAGATCGCGACCAGCCCAATTGAGAAGAGCAGATTGCCCCCTTGGGCACTCTAGGTTTCAACCTTTAAAACAACACAAGGCCTACTGTGATCACAGCGATAGTGAGCATATTCGCAGACATCAATAATACAGATAGAAATGGTATCAATAGCTATTCCACCACCACCACCTAAACTGGGCAAATAATAACGAGGAGAAGGACTAGCCGTTAGCGCTAGACGACCGCAACAACCACAACAACAACAACCATGCCACCAGCCGTGAAGACTGTACGGCAAAACCAAGAGAAGAGGAGGATGCAACAACTACATACAATGAGATATACGTAAAGCAAACGGCCCAGCAGTAGTGGAGATAGTAGTAATAGCGGCAGGACAACTGAAGACAACAACAACAAAGTCCATACCAAATTTCCGAAACTTATCTCATTCAGAAAAGGGACGAGTTATAATACTAGTCGTATAACAACCTATCCTAGGAGCTCCAGCAAAGGGTTGTCGTCCCCCATAGGAGGGAGAGGAGTCCCAGTAAAACCAAGATCAGCATCGTAGGGTTCTCGACTATCGCTGATGAGTGCAGCAGGATCCTCTGGGGGCTCGATAGGGCCATGGTCCTTCACAAAGGCTTCACTAAATATCATACGAACGAATACATACGCCGACACGAGGTTGGGTATTATTACGTGGTGATAGCCTTCTTGGAATTGCAGGCCGCGGCGAACCGGACAGGATTCCGCTTGCTTTCGTTCTTCATCTTAGTATTCAGCTGAGACGACGTCCTTGTTGAGCCAAAAACCGTAGAGATCATCATCAAATCCGGACCATACCTGACATGAGATGTGTAGAAGGTGTGGTATGACATCTGCCCACATCGACAGAGCCTCATAAAACTTGTCGGTCTCCTTATCCGACCAAGCGCTACGATGAGTCCTCTTGTATGCATCTTTGTATTCACACCGTCCTGATTCGTCCTAAAAATAATAAATAACAGCTCAGAAGCTACCACTCCTTTTATCACTGTCGTTGTCATCATATTGAGCTCTCCGAATATGTCACCAGTCGACCCAGAGTCATCCTGCTGTAAAACAATATTACCACTCTCATCGAACTTCAGTTGTTGCTGAACCACACCATCACCAGCAGTAGGGGAGGGGCTCGAGGTACTCATAACCTTGTCGAAGCTAACCATACCAAAGAGATCGCCAAAGGCCCCATCGAGAGGCGTTAGATCGTCGGCTTGAGTAGCCGGAGTCTTCGGGGATTCACCATCATTCTTGCCCTTCTTCTCCTTTTCCTCAGCTGTATCCTGTGCAACTACCCGGTTAATTAAGTCCACAATAGTACCGTCACCACTCTGGCTAGGAGTAGACCCATGGCCCTTGGCACTCCTCTTAGATGGAGGGTTCTCTACACCAAGCTCCGTCCTAACTCGCTTTGCAATACGACGACTGATTTGTGTCGAAGTCAACGGCTTGTCGGCTTTCTTCTTCTTCCGGCCACCTCTCCGGCGTTTATTGCCAACCTCACTACCACTCTCCCCAGGAGTGCTCGGGGAGGGTGGCAACAGCACGATCTCGGTCATACCATGGCTTGGCACCACGTCAGTGTTGGTGCTCAGAGGGGATGGGTCCCCACAGATAGACGGCACATGTGCATTAGAAAAAACGTCCGCGATGGGGTCGATACCCGCATCATGAGCCCGAGGCACCACCACACAAGAGGTAGTAGGACTGTCGTCAACTTGCTGGTTGGGACTAGCAATATCATCAACCATTACAGTGTGGGCGACAGGTCCATCAGACACCTCTCCGCCCATACCAATGGTCATCATTAAAATGCCTCAAAAAAGTGCCACCTGTCAACAGGACAAATCCGACACAAAATCTGTCCCCATCATTTTCCCAACTCTCCTGGCAGACAACCGCCAGTTGAAATATCGCTCGCACCTATCCCACCATAGCGGAGTCCGACGACCTACACAAAACCTGTCCCCTTGAAGTATCTACTCCACGGTTGCGAACAACACGACAACTGTCCCACTACTTATGATACGAAATGCTCGACACAGTAGATGAGGAACTAGCCCCACCTCCAATGCAGAAACGTAGCCGTTGATCCGCGTCCATAGAATGATCACTCTTAACGTTTTCTACTCTGATTTCTTCTCCTCGTGCTTCCCACACTCGTGGTGGTGACAACAACCCTAAAATGTGACCAGGTCCTTCCTACCATATCAACAACGCCAACAGCGACTCAAGACTTGAGAAAAGAACAATAAAAACTCACTTCTCACGGGACTCAAAACAAAGAGATACCAATCACAGCCATAGGAATATATACTAGGAGCATATATAAGAAGCACGCGAGAACTATCAGCATCGCCCCGATATCGATATAGGTAGACACTGTCATAGTCGACGACGATTCGCCACCAACACTACTGCCTTTGGACGAGGTAACACGAGATGATTTGGACTCGTCCGGGCAGGAAGTTAACTTAGCGTCAACATGGTCTACTGCAGTAGAAGAGGAAGGGGAAGAGCAGCAGTGAAAGGCAGAATCATCCTAACGACGACCACGCTACACTGATGACTTCGAGGAAATTATTATTCAATTATTGACCATACCACACCATTCCCAATTCTCACCTCATCGTTCTTCAATGGTTCCGGCAACTTGGCCAGGACCTCAGGCAGACGCCCCATAAAGGGCTGAATAGTATGAAGGTCATCCGAGTTCACTTCCGACCCCTTCTCGAACATATCAAACATCTCCCTGATGCCGAACGTACCCAACGGCCTCGCCTAACAACCACCACAACAATAACAACAACGTTTCAATTCCTTATGAAGTGTCCCAACTCACCGTATCACGCTTCCGTAGAGTGACAGTGAGATCGTTCTGCTCCTTTTCACCAACAACAGCAATGTAGTTGAAGGCAGCTACCTGAGCCTCGCGAACCTTCTTGTTCATGGTCCTCGTCGAGAGATCGGCATCAGCCTCATACCCCAAACGGACCAACTGCTTACGCACGTAGCTGAGATCACACAGGGGAATAACCCATACTACATGCACTTACGGACCCTTACTCAGCATAGTCACTGTACTTGTCACTAACAGGTACGACCATGACCTGCCTAGGTGAGAGCCAGAAGGGCCACTTGCCACCGAAATGCTCCGTCAAAATAGCAGTGCACCTCTCTATCGAACCGAGAATAGCACGATGGATCATAACAGGACGTTCGAAACCTACACAACATGGTGAATACACCAACAACAACTATCACGTCGAGGTAACTCACCGTGTCTGAGTTCACCCAGAGTGATCTCGTCAGCCTTGGCCTTGCTTCCAACGTTCTCAACAGCAGCAGAGCTTTGAGTACTACCCTTCTGCTGGTCGTTAACAGGACTGTTAGCGGCCTCTGATGCTGCATGGGCATCACCACTCTCCTCCGTCTCGGCAATGCGGTATTGCAAGTTGAATCTAAATATGATAACATCCAGTCACCGGGGATCGAACCCAGGACCACCTGATGGGCAAGTTGAAATCAAGCTGAATGGTGCCGCACTGGTGATAGCGGTTCAGAGCGTCACGAAGGCGGATATCGATCTTAGGACCATAGAAAGCACCTACGACTCACAGTAGACTATGCAACCCACAACAAAGTAGTACCATCGCCAGGGTTCAAATCATAGTCAATACCGCAAGCCTCAAGGGCGTTCTTGAGGCCGCTCTCCGCGGTGTCCCAGATGGCTCGAGAGCCAATCGCCTTCTTCGGCCGAGTCGACAGGCACACCTAAGAAGATGACAATGTGAGTGGGCCAGGGACGACGACTGCATACCGAGAAGTCAAATCCAAAGGTATTGTAGACGAACTTGAGGAACTCGAGGGCATGAACAATCTCATCCTGGACCTGCACGTGAAGGGCCAGTGACCATCTCTAGAGGGGTCTAGTCTCACCTGGTCAGGACGGCAGAAAATATGAGCATCATCCTGCTGGAACCTTCTGACACGGGTGAGGCCGGAGAGGGTACCCGATAGCTCGTTACGATGGAGTACACCAAAGTCGGCCATACGGATAGGGAGCTCCTTATAAGAGCGGACCTGATACAATGATGATGTGACGAAATGATGGTATGGCGGCAACCAGCACTACCTTCTGGTCAAATATCATACAGTGACCTGGACAATTCATAGGCTTGAGGAACCACGTCTCACCCTCAATATTCATACTATACCTGAGAACAAAGCAGAGCCTATCTACATCTCGGCCCACGATACCGGACACACTCACATATTATCCTTGTAATTACCACAGTGACCAGACTGTTGGAAGAGGGCTTCACTGAAGATGTTGGGCGTGATGACCTGTCAAGGAAATCCCTAGGCCGTAAGGGATCAAACAAGAACTAACCTCATCAAATCCACGAAGTCGATACTCCCTACGTATGAAGTCAACAAGCTTGTTGTATATAACAGCACCGTGGCTGGTCCAGAAGCAGGAACCAGGCGACATGGTAGGATGGAAGAAGAACAGGTCCTGAACAGCAACAACAACCGAGCAGTTAACGCCACTTCTAACGACATCACTCAAGATCAATGCTCACCTGCTTCTTGCCAATAAGCCTATGGTCTCTCTTCATAGCCTCCTCAACATTCCTCTTATATTCCTTCAGCATCTTCTCAGTGGGGAACGATATAGCGTAAACACGTTGTAGAGAATCGTTCTCAGCCTACAGTACTAAAACCATCGAACCCAGCAACAGCCAAGGGTACTACTACTACTACTAGCACTACTACTACTACCTTTCCTAGCCAGTAAGCCTGAGAGTTTTTGTTAACCCAGAAGGCCTTGGCGATTCCAGTACGAGGAAGATGAGGACCACGACAAAGATCGACCAGAGACCCGATACGGTAGACCGAAGTCAGCGATCCATCCGGAACCTAACAGGCCCTCAGGCATCCATACTCTTCAGCCAGTCCTCACCTTACCTTAGTAGAAATGAGTTGAAGCTTGAAGGGATTATAAGCAAAGAGCTCCAATGCTTCCTCCTTGGTGACGACAAGCCTTTGGAACTGATGACGACCACCAATAGAGAACAGACTCCCCCAAAACAGAGTAGTGCCTTCTGATCACTCTTAACAATCGAGTCAATGCGCTTCTCGATCTTTTCGTAATCATTTGGGCCCAACTTGAGGTTGCCAAAGAATCCATCATAGTAGAAACCGTTCTCGAGAGGGGGTCCTAAGGACGTGGTAAATATAAGAACTTTACTCTAGTGAAGCTTACCAATGGTCAGATAGCAGCCATACTCCTGCTCCATAGCCTCGCCAAGAATGTGCGCGCTGGAGTGCCAGAAAGTATCTTTACCTTCGGGGGAGTCGAACTTGAGGAGTTCTAGTTTACATGAACCCTCCAGAGGTCTCGATAGATCCCATACGGTCTAGCAATACAATTCACTAATAGAACACCACCTAGGTGAGTCCTTACTTCCTTCTGCCATGCCTTCACCGTATTAACGTGAGCCTCCTCCTCATCATCAGATCCCTCATCACCAGCATCAGAGCCAACATCAGATTCATCATCAGCAGCAACAACCTGAGCTATAGCCTTGCTCCATCCGGATATACAGGAGCCTTACCTGGTCCATACTGTCAACAGGCTCAGTGTAGAGGATCTTTGCGGCCACCACGGAGTTGGCCAAACCCTTTGATATGCCAATAGCGATGTCCAAAGGGGTGGTCTCGAACTTACGACCCTCTTTCTGAGTGCCATCAGGCAATACGATGGTGATGGGGTCCTTGGGGAGCGCGGCAAGACGCTCTTCTTGAGCGGCATAGAGCTTATCAAAAAGCTCCGTGGTCTCCTTAAGGTAAGGTGCCTACACATCCGGACCTACTTTGTATCTTACAAGCTCAACCTCAAGATATTCCGCTCCTCAATGCAAATCATAACGTGCAGCACCACCACGGCTTAACTTACTGTAGCATTAGGATATATCTTGAAGTCGCCTTCGAATCTGCCGGTCTCACCGAGCCTAGCTCCCTTGCCTTGATATGTCTTTGTCCTAGTACCGTACATTATGTTGTTATTACTAGCAGTAGTGGTAAAGTAGTTGGTAGTAGACAAAGCGCGTCGAAACGCTAGTATAAAGGAGAAACGGAGAAGGAAAAATGTCAACTTCAGCGACAAGGCCATCGCCCAACCCCACAATGCTCCATCATGACGCAGAAGGTCCAACACTCACTACTCGACGAACATCCGGCTTGTGAGTTAGCGCGCGCCATAGTGATCGATATTCTGCACCCTTTGGAGTGGGCATTAACCTCGAGTCATGTAGGCTCTGTGTCCGCTTATAGTCGATCCCGAAGGATTCCTAGAGTCGGTAAAACATAGTATTAGAGAGAGAGGGTATGGTGTATCGTAGCTTACTTCAAAATGGCCCTTCGGAAGGTTGCGATGATGGACCATCACCGCTCCTTCCGCAGGGCCATTCGGACGTAACAAAAGCATTAAGTAATGACCACATACCTAGTATTTCGCATGTAGACTAATGTAGGCAACCAAAAGATGGTAACGAATCGATTTTATTCTGTTGAACGCCCGATAGTCTCTAATAACACCTTCAAGTAGGCGAACACCGTACAGTACAGACTGCATGGATGCTTCGAACATCATAGACACTCCTAACAAACATTGGGTTTATGATAGGCCGTGTGTTACAGGGCAAGTGGAATATCTTGACTTCTCGGCACTAGTCTACGGTTACTCTCTGAGGCTCCAAAGCTTTGGTGCTCATCAACCACTATGATGATGTCCGCCTGCAAGTGGCAGGGCTCCATATACTCGATGAAACGCTGGGGGCGTCATCAACGTAGAATTTCTCCTCATATTTCCCAGAAAGGAAACGCAGTTTGACATTGATCTCAAACCCCGTCCGCAGTCTCGACAACAGATTATTGAAATCACCACAGCGGGAAATTGGAGGACAGTGCAATGGGAAAATGCTGTAGATTGCGTTGTAATCTCAACGCGCGTTCGGTGCTGTGGGAGCTACTGGACCTATAACATCGGAGGAGCTCCTTGAGAAAAGAGAAGTCCTTCACGAAGAACAGATCCTCCAGAATCTAGGCTGTGTCCCCTAAGGTCTATTCTAGGTGTAAAGACCTAGGGCCTAGAAGGCATTGGGAGGGAGGCAAAAATCCTAAAGGGAGGAGCTCAGGAGCCATCGCCCGAGGAGCTGCTCCTCCCTCATAACACGCAGGCGAGCTTCCTTGATGACCTATACCCAGGAAGGTGATGAGCTTTCTTGAGGAGCTTGAGGGCAGCTTAACCTTAGTTGAAATGCTGTTTACACATCAAAACGAAGAGTTTTCGAGCCTGAGGATCGAACCTCACGATGTGTAGCGCTACATGGGATTAACCATTCTCCCATAGTTCACGCATCAATAGCCAGGCAACATGACGTGGTTCCTACTATACTCAAGTGGAGATGCTCTTGACCCACACTCGTGAATACAACAAACAAATGAGTTCGCCCAGAGCTCTGCGACTGTACAGATACTGGGTGAGATATCTGGCTTGGCGGGAATGCTTTTAGCGGCCGAGAAGGCTGAGGGCGATCTACTCCCGTTTGGCATTGACGATGACGATTTTTGGATGTTTTTCGGATGGTCAACTCTATCGTTGTTGTTTACTAAGAAGAGCTGATCCAAGAGGGAGAATTCCACAACCAAAACAGACCGATCAACTGTCCTCTGTCCTTGATGGGTTCATCAATTGAGAAATCAGGCATTGCCGCACAAATTGTGCATGAAGGGGACTGAAGCCGTATCATCTATGATCGTAGCAGCATGGATAAAGATCTTATCTTCACTTCGCGAGGTGGTAGGTTCGATTCTTGGCGAAGGGTTTTACGACGCTGAACTCCTCTACCCATACTCCTATCGACAAGCGTGGGCCTACTGTTAGTTTCACTTGATAGAACCCATACGTAACTAAACAACTCAAATGACTGTAAAATGTACCAAACGTGACAGTGGGTAACAGCAATGTTTATGAAGAAGCTGCAAAGGCGTGATGGAGGGTGATGAGCTCTTCAACCCCTCTCTCGACACTTCAGTATAATATCTCGCTGTTCACCCCATAACTTGCTAAGCTGCATTATCAGGCGGGTCAAACGCTAACAATAGCACAGATGATTGAGGAACCGATTCGATACAGTAAACCAACTCAACCAATGCACCCGTAGCACCGTGCAGCTACCTGAGATTCCCGATCATTGTCCTCAATCTCCTTGGAACATCGCTTCTTGAGCTCACGCGCCGTCGATTCAGTACCTACACAGTCGACTGTCATCAACATGTATACGCCCTTAATACTACACATAGCCCGCCATAGGGAATCACTATTGGATATACCATTAGATTGCATAAACCATTTAGTCGACTGAGGTGCTCCTTCTAGTCGTGGTGCCGGCTCTCTAGATGGTGTCGTGAACTCAGTGAGTGCCTTCTCAAAGGTGTCCTTGAGAGGATGTCTAGGAGGAGGGGGAGGAGCCTGAGTCCAGTCACTTGGTCAGCCCACACTAGTGTAAAAAGGACCGAACCCCCTTGGATGATACCCAACCCAGTGTGCTCACCAAAACAACTCTCATAGATTTCAGCTTCTCCTCCTCGTCCACAACATGCTTGAGTCCATGCCCAGCCTCCGGAGACCCATTCCGCCCATCATCGCCTACTCGCCGTCGTTTGGATGCACTAGATGGAGGCTTTGTCGGCTTTGACCAAGCCTCCTTCAGCCCAGTCAAATACTTGGCAGAGTAGACCTCAACAGCACACAGTAGATCGTAGCGTTAGTTATAAGATATGTGAGCATTACCCGTCGTTTATGCCAAATGTCTAATGTACGCAAATATGGCTTCTTATCATGTGGCGATAGATTAGCAACAAACCCGCACATGTTGGGGTTGAGGAACTTCTCAGCTCCCTGAGGGCCCACTTCGGAATGTCACGAGTACGGCAACCTACCGCTTGTAATAGATTCTGGTTGCTCATCCGGCCCCGCTGAACTATCTCGTTGAAAACATAGAAAATGCTAAGCTTGTGATTAATATGTCGACTATGAGCGTGCTCCTCCGCCAATATTTGACATACTTCACTCGACAATGAGGGCATATCCCCGATTAGCCTGACATATGGTCATATACTACATTCATGAGGCCTTCGCATACTTGGCAACCCCAACAATCGCTTCCTGAGTGCCCGCGATCTCCCCGAGCTTCTTCCGTAGATGATCCAATGCCCGGACCTGTTGCTCAGTCAAAGGCCGCTTGGCCCCTCTCCCTCCTGGGCTAGACGGTGACGATAAAGAGGAGGAGGAGGACATACAATCGACGGCAGCCTAATGTCATAACACATTACCTTTCTGATGTTCATAGCGTCTACAGTTTCAAGATTCACCCCAGAGAGTAACACTGATATAACGCAAGTCGTATAAGCATTGGAGACTTCAATGGTAGTCCGCCCACTCTCATGGGTATAGTAATATCATGGATGTTTCCGTACCCCACGAATATCGCATATGGATACATGCTGCATAACTGAGTGTTGTGCAAATCGGCATCTATGCAATAGTCAGTTACCTCATCAGTAATTGCATTACCTCGGCATGGACCTAACGAATGGGATAGATCTCTACTTATCTTTAGACACGTCGAACCAATTCCAGGATCGACAATCCCTCTACAGAGTGGAGGGCGAAGCGTGAGGTGAACACTAACACTGTACCCAGCTTGCTAGCCAATGGTCTCTCACTGATCGGACGGTATGAGCCAGTAGAGACACCGTAGTTGCTGGTGCCAAAGCTCAGTTCGGCAAATGGCAAAAACGGATATAATAACGGCTGACGGAAATTCTTGTGCATGTGTGAGTTTTAAGTCCAACGCCGACAACACGGCTCAGTTAGACTCGCATCGATGCACATTAGCTCACGAGTTTAGCCTTTTGCAAATTATTGTTGTTGTGCAGAGTGCACAACTACTTAAGTTTGAAAATTGTTGATGATTTTACGACTATGATTACACACCTTTTAAACATCTAGTTCGTTTTTGGAACAATCCGGCTGTTTGTTCTGAATTTCGTCCAGGCGCGCGAAGTTGGAGCTACGAACCCGAATTGAAAAGATCGTATTCGCAATTAGAACTTTCAAATTCGTCTGAAGTCGATAGGAAGTTCAAGTTCGTGTTAATAGAGCTTTCAATTTCGACTTTCGAACCTTCGGATTCATCATAGAGCTTCCAATTTCGTCGGTTTGGAAGTTCCAGGTGGGCACGCCCGACAACTCTTCTACAGGGGTGGGCAAATCCCGACCGGGATTCCGTCCCGACTGCCGGGACCGGCCCGGAACCGGGGTTCGGGCCGGGATAGCGAGAAACCCATCCCGGCTAGTAGGCCGGAATCCGGGGACCCGGACCCCGTCATCCCGACCGGATAACCTGACCCCGGTTCTTATGGAGTGCAGGGCCTAGCCCCTAAGCCTAGCGACAGCCCTCTGGTGCTACTAGCAGCAACGGGGCCATATCAAGTCGGCGATTCCGACTTTCCGGCCGGAAAACCGGAAATCACGTCGGGACAGGAGGCTAATTCACGAAGCCGGGGTATTGGTCGGGCGGGACGGGGCGGTCAATTGTAAGCCACCCGGACTGCGGGTCGGCCGGGATCAGCCCAGAGGCAAATGCCCATCCCTGCTCTTCTAGAGGACAAAACTTTGACCACGAGGCCCATAATGAGCCCACCGGTTGTGAACTAGCCGAGAGTTCGGCGAGTTCAGATTCATCCGATTACAGTGTTAAATTAGCACGCAAGCGTTCTACTTCGTGTCTCACTACGTTGAGACTTGCCAAGATTGCAAGATTTTAGTATTTGAGAATGTAGCCATATCTTGGCTCGAGCATGATATTATGTCAGCTACGCATGGAGCTGTACCAGTAGGAGACCAGGGGGCGCTCGTTATTGAAGTGTGCGGTCCCTCTTCACTATCTCCAGGGGAACTTGTAAGTTGAGTGCACTTTGTGAAGGCCGTAGTTATGGGGAATATGCCCTATGCATCTGCGACTGTATTAACACTCGCATTCTATAGGCCATTGATGACAACATCAATGCTGTTCATCCCGAAATTTGTTAGTACTTTGTATTAGCGTAATGTTTTCTACGTTGTCTCGGCACCTTGCAGCTGCTGCCGCATCAGCGGCGTCCTCAGGAGCATCAGCCCAAGCCGTCATGACGGTGACTCCTGCTGCTGCATCAAGGATCAAAGACCTTATGAAGTAACGAGTCCCTCTCTATCGGCTATTCACTGCTCTATACGACATGTGTTTCAGTAAGAAGCGTGATGACTCAATCATAGGCCTCCGAGTAGGAGTGGGCAAGAAGGGATGTGAGAACATGAGCTATACCATGAACTACGCCAGAGTAAGTATGCCCCAATCTTCGCCTCCTCGTTATAGTCATCTTAGGATATCGGCAAGCTCGATGAGGTAGTCGAGACTGAAGGAGTTAAGGTCGTAGTGGATCCCAATGCCCTCATGTATCTCATCGGTAATAAGCGTAACCACCAGCTTTCAGTGACATCGTTTGTGCTAGTTGGATAGGGTAACTATAGGTTTGCCTCTCAGGTACAGAGATGGACTACGTCGACAACGACTTGGCCTCAGAATTTGTGTTCACTAATCCCAACCAGAAGTCGTCCTGTGGGTGCGGTAAAAGCTTTAGTGTTTAGAGCAAGGAGTAGTGAATCATTTATGTATAATATCAGTCGCTTTGTTCACAACATTAAGCTATGCATTGCTCAAAATGAACATATCACAGTTTATGCCACTGTTACTATTGATCGACAGTATGTTGTGTTCTAGTGAGGAGGAGGAGGGAACTTGATATGTTCATATTACAGAGTGTGGCGAATTGTGGTTAATGGCTAAAGAGCAAACTGACTCGGAGGGATCTGCTCCTAAGGCCGCGGTACCAGGTCTGAATGGAACGTAATAAGTGGGTTATGAGCACGCCGTAGAAGTGGTGCTCCTGTGTCTTTATTGATCTATGCTGCAATATAGGTGCTCAGGTTCTACATGGCCTATCCTATTTTTTCGATGTGTTCTGATGAGCATGGTCTGGTGCTCACTGGTGGTGGGGGAGGAGGGAAGGAGTATGGCGTTCTCGACTATGTAGCGTCGTAGTGGTGGTAGGCCTGGGGAATTGATATAAGCCTCAGATCCAAGCGCATGTGTATGATGAGAGTACAGAGTCCTTTACTACCGTATCATCTATAGAGACGGACACCAAGGTCTGCTATGATATCACTTACTGTCCAGCTGTAATACCAAACCTTTCCGTCATCGTACTTCTCAACGTGTGAGCTCCACAGACCGACCGTTTCGCAGCTGCCCTCACAAGTGAATGCCTGCTACTGCGATTCGATCCAATCTCCCTCTCTTTAACCTGTGAAGTAATGCATTCACCACTATGATATCAATGCTTGGACTGTGTGTATTCATCAGGCACGGTTTACTGTGGAATTGTCCAATCCTGGCCAGACTGTTTGTAATGTCCTCCGATACAGTCCTTCAGGAGCGGAGTTACTCACTGGTGGTGATGATGGAGTCGTTCGTGTAGTATCGCATCATTGCACCCACCGGCTATGCTTATCGATATAGGTTTGGAACCTGGCCTCATCTACTTCCGCACCACGCCTGGCTTTGGATGATCATCATAAGGAGATAGTAGATGCCGAATGGGCTCCTAGTGGAGATCGCTTCGTCACCTGCGGTCGGGACCGGTCTGTAAAGCTGTGGAGGTACTATGGCTATCTCAGTGCTCTCCGGCGTATCTTGTTTTGGGTCTTCAGTGGGGAAGGTGCTTGTACGGACACTATCATACCAGAGAAGATGAAGGCTATTTCTCCCCTCGCCAAATTTGCCAGGTTTGTCAATGATACTTATTTGATCGTTGCGACCCATGGGCCACGAGGACCTTCCTGGCTGACAGTGTAGGTGTATAGTCTAATACGCGTTACAATAGACGTTTACCAGGTACGATGTGGGCTCTGATGGCAAGGCAAAAGAGGTGAAGAAGAGTCAAATTTCTAAAGCTGTAATTTGCAGTATCGCCTTGAGCCAGGATCGATCTAGAGCTGCTATAGGATTCGTGGACAGCACTAGAATGGTAGTGCAGACAAGCAGTAACTGCCCATCAACGTGTGTTTGGCAGATACTGAGCTTAACGCCAATAAGTGTATTGCATAAAAATACCGCAGTTGTACACGAGATGCCTCCTGGAAAGGCCGCTTTCGTAAGGCAGTAGTGGACGTGTCTCCAGTCTATGATATCTGCCTCCTCCTCCTCAGGTGCTCGACAAGCACATAGTGTGCACATCATCAGCAGACTACAGTGTGAACATATGGAATGTTAAGAAGCCGGCTCGGAGTCAAGGCCTTGGTTGTTGTTGGTGGCTCATCTTCCTCCTATCCCTCGTGACCCTGCTCTACTACGGTTATCTGTAAGCAGTTGTACGGTGCATGACCCTTGTCGAGTGATGCATTCGTAGGTACGCATTGAAAGAGGGGCATCTGGGAGGTCAAGGACGCCTCGATGAGCTTTAAGATTATTCATTATCGGCGTGTCAATCTTGATGTTTCGACTTTCTGGTTTGCTGTTGTGTTTGTTAGTCTGTTGATACGTGAGCATTCGCATTGAAAGAACAAGTATGTTTTCACATCACTCACACATCGGCCGTTCATGTATTACTATCATGTCGCTATCCTGTGCTATGCAGGTTAGTTCGATTTTGAGGCGTATCGCGTGGATTGGGCCTACTATTCGATATCCATATTCATCAAGGGCTTTTAGTGCGATATTCACATGATGGCCTGAACAGTAAGAATTATTAGAAAAGTAATAGGTGTTTACTGTCAAAACCCTCCGAAGAGTTTTGTCATGACCGCAAGCCAGAACTGCTTTCTTCGATACGCTATCACCCATCCCACTGGGCTATTCGTGATTGCACATGATATGGCGTTAACCTTGCCTTACCCTTCATGACGACTGTGAAACACAAAACCTGTGGACATCGTGAGTAACTGGACATCAATCGTGAAGATAAAGCAGACGGAACGGTGTAACGAACTATCGTTAAGCAAAATAACAGTAGTGACGAATCAGTTAACGGCCATCAACTTCCTCCTCTCCTTATCATGCTCGCTGGGAGTATACGACTTGTTATAAACCTGCGATGAGACACCATCAAAACCATGTCGCCAACGGTCGAATGCCTTACAATCCGCGTGCCGTCCCCTCGAGTTCTCTCCCATTCCCCAGAGGCCACCCTAGGGGCAAAGCACTTCCCAATGATGAGAGGCAAGACAAGTGTGGCCTCAGTGTACACCTTCACAGGCTTGGCATCGATCCTGATCTTACCCCAGCTCACGGCTTCATCGGGGCGAGCACCAGAGTCGCAACCATCGAATTCTTGTGCAGTGTTGATGTACCTGCCCACATATCGTCCTCTACCTCCTGATACCATTGCGTACACAACATGGTCGGCACCATTCCTCATCAAGTTGGCATTCATAGCGTGATGCTTTACCACACCTCCGCCTAAAACCAGAACGGTTGAAGACCGGTAGAAACGGAAAGCTCACCGATGACGATAACTCCGGTATGGCGCGCCTTCACAGATTCATCATTGACCTTCCGAATGTCAGCCGCGATATCGATAATGAATCCAGGACGCTTATACGAATGGAAGTAACTGCGAAATTGAATCTCCTCTAACGAAATTTGGTTATTATTAGGTACATCATGTCGCCGATCGATCCATCAGTGATGGCAGGGCAGAAAACAGGGATGTTGTTTTTGTAACACCAGTAGTAGACCGAGCGTGGGTCGTTGATCTCCTTACCGAAACGATGAATCTGATATAAGGAGAGTAACCATCACAACTGTTATCCCCATGGTAATGGTACCATGGTGCTGGGCGTCCAAATAACTCCGTCCTGTTCCTGCTCGTCATGCATCTTGTCGATGATAGGCTCGATCCACTCCTCGAACCTGCACACTGCATTGCGTTCCATTTCTATCACCCACGGCTTACTTGCAGTAGTTATCATTAGGGACGATCAGATTTCCCGTGCGGTTGAGTCCTCTACGACGTAACGTTTTACCGTCAAGAGCAAAGTCACCGAGATGGAAGTCCTGTAATTCAGCAATACTGTACGTGAATGAAAGGGGACCTTCTCTTACCGCGAGGCATTTGATGAAATCCTCCTCGATGCCACCAGCCGTAGTAATAAACACTTGCGCCTATCGAGAGTTGATTGGCCTCATCAGTGCGGCCGTTCTAATGCCTACCATATGGTGCTCAGCTATATACCGGATGAGCTCACGGCATCCACTAGAGATGATATTGGAAGTGTACGAAAGCCATACCTTCGTACGTACGTCCAAACGTGCCTCTTCACTTCGGAACCTGCAAGCCGTAAATGCCACCAATGCATCAAATCGCCACTGTGAGTTCTCTCAAGATGCCCATAGAGTGTTACTCCTCGTCCTCATCGTCAGCCACAGGCTCGTCATTGAGACTCCAATCCAGCATCGCATCGATTTGCTTGAACGCCAAGCCAAGATTGGTGGCTTGAAAGCCTAGCAACCACTCCCAGTGAAGAAAACTACAACAATAAAGGGGAGAAAAAGAACACCTGTATACATCATCTGATCCATCATCGCATTGAAGTCGACTCCGTTATTAAAATCGTACCTACATCGAAGAATCGACACTCTTTGGGGACGACAAAGGCTCTGCTGGACTTACCCCTGAATGACGGGAGTATCAACCGTTTCGCTCGAGAGGAATACAGCATCATCGGCGATCTCGGGGATCTGTCCCGAGGCTACTGACTCTTCTTCTTCTGATTTATCAGCTCCCATAAAGAATGCAATGACTACTTTCAACTTGTATGATATGTAGGACGACTTCAACGCGACAAGGAGACTATGTTCGACCCGTTTCCAAGAGTTACCGCTATTTCCTGAGCGTTGAGGGTTAGTTGTCACCCACGTTGTGATGGGGCATCACCAGGAGTGATGACCCTCAGCACACAAAAGGAGACAACGCTTAAGCTCGGAAGCGTCACAGGAAGCACGCAATAATACAAGTCTTCAAATTTTCAGTTTGCGAACAAGAACATCGATACCCCATAAAGAACAGTAGCGATAGACCTATGTCACCATTAAGAGGAGCTGACAGAACCTAACCACCTCTACATTAGACAGAACAGGACTGCCAAAAGTGATGGAGTTAATGACACGATACGTAAAACGACTTATAAAAACGTTAAATGCTGGTTCGGTTGACGTTTGCCGAAATATATCTACGGACGTCAAGAGTAGACGTGAGCACAGACTAAGCAGAGTTTACGTCGGCGGCTGGGAGGGGACAAATTGTGACACAATGCTCTGACCAATGTGGCGCTGTCACTGCGCTGTGGCATCGAGCACCCCGAGCTTATACCAACTCAACAGCAGAACACCGCATCAGAACTCAAAGGTCATCATATGCTATGACGCCTCTACCCGCCTCCGCCTGTCGAGCTTCCGGCCGATCCTCACCCTTCTCCTGTGGCGACTCCACAACCGTAGTGACCACTGCCGACTGCTCTTCCGAATCGGCGGCGACCTGCTCATTAGCTCTCCGTGTGGCTGATATACGACGATATCTGAGGAGCATGGGCAGCATTCAAGGACATCCTAGGAAGCGATACTGCAATACCGTTTATAAGTCTCGGAATCAGGACGAACTCGCCGATCACGCCCCATATCATCCTGCACCACTATGAACTCCTCTGTCGAGTCTTCTGGTACCTAGTTCACCATCACTCCAACCCCCTAGGCATGCAAGTCTCCTTCTTCCTTACCAGGTCGGCCTCGTCAATGATGAGCTCCTCCTCGAGAACATCTGTGTACTCATGAGCTGCCACTTCTCGTTGTGACACCGTCCTGATAAGAGGGATATACCGGTGGCTTATAGCGGTGATTAGCCTCACACTTCACCATCCTCATCATTGGTGCTTGCCTCGGCATCAGGCTGCTGAGGGGAAGCGACAACCGCCTCAGATGCCTCTACAGGAGGAGTATACCTCCGGCGCTTTGGCTGGCGTACAGGGCCTGACAGTACGAGCTCATCGAGCTTATATGACAGTCTCGATGAACCCCAACAGTACTACTTTGAGGAACACCATTAAACCATCCATCAGTATCCCTATCTTCTGTCCCCTCATCATCAGTCTGCGTACTCACTGTCGCCCTAATTACCGCGTTGTACGTGGCCGTATCATAGAATCTACAACATCGTGAATCCCTCCACGTTGAAGACCCTACTACTACTACCTTACGAAAGGCTTGAACTCTCTCTCCCTCTCCAATAAGGCATCCGCCATAGTCCCTCCACTCGGAAGGTCTTCCTGCCGCAACTCCAATGAGTTACGTGGCGAGTCAGCGTCGGCGTTCATTCAATCACTCCCCCCAAGACTAATCCACTGAGCCATAGATTCGGCCGAGATTGCCCCCTAGAATACTATAACACAACAAGCTGCGAATAATACAGAGAAACTGATCCGCACCAGTGTCACCACCGTCACTGTCACCATCTTTTCTCTAACACTTAGTGCCAGTAGGGAAGAAGCTGAAGTTGTACCTGACCCAAGTCATAACTATACAAAATAGACGCCCAATGTTGCAATACCTCTTCTTAGTAGGCACGATGTCGTATATATCCGCATCGCCCGCGTACTTCCTCACATACTGACGGTCCCCGGGAGCGAAAACAAAAGCTGCCAGGGAAATCCATTTTTTTTCACCAAACTTTACTACCGTCGTGTTTCTTAGTATCAGCGCCATCGATTCCAAATCTCTGCCTTATTTCATCATCCAAGACTTTCCATGACCATTTACTACCATATAAACCACCGAACAGGCCTAGAATAGCGCATAATAAATACAGTGGTAATCTCACTAAGCTACTACCACTAAAGGAGGTCGACCAAGCTTCCCAGTATATGGCAGTCGACTGCAAGCCGTTCTCCATCCCCCCACCACCCAAGAGGGAATCCTTGACCAAGTCAGAGTAGCTCAGAGGTGATGACGACATTACCAACCACAATGATCAAAAAACCTTCAACGCAATTAGTGGACTGTGAAACCATACCATAACTTCGTCACATTCTACCGTGTCGAGCCGGCATGCACCCCCCTCTTGAAGCGCGATAACACAACAGCATCAGCGGAGGTATCATCAAAAAACATGCTAATACCCTATAAATATCACTAAGCCCCCTTGTGGGATGCGACTCGTCTCCCAAGTCGCTGTACGAGAGAATAAATAGTATATCATGAGACCACTGTATTAGAGATCACCACGGGGTCTAACCCAGTTAATCTTGTGCTCCGGAGCCTCGAGGTAGAACAGTTTCATATCAATACGGTACCTACCTTCGAATGGAGGGGGGGAGAATCAATAAGCCCAAAGCCTCACTGTCTATGCTGGAGAACAGCCAAATGTCCAAAGTAGCAGCCGAGGATGATACCAATGAGCCAGTCGCGGAAATAATGACGGGAATAGTAATCACCTTGAACCCTCTGTCGGAAGGAATACCACTTGCCACACCAGGTCACCTGAAATATGAAAATGAGTATGAGAAATGATGATAGTGTACCGTACGTAGTCCTCGTGTTTGATCTCGTCAACTGTACGGTAGGGTAAGGGGATGCGATGACGATAGATCTTTAGAGGCTTGGCAAACTTATAAAACATCTCTTCGTAGTCGTCATAGGTCATGTCGCCCATGATTAACTGATCAACCACGACAACATGTACTCATACCACAATAATCTCAGATCACCTTGTCGGTGTAGGGCTTCAGTTCAGGAGTGTCATCACCAAGCTTCTTGAGGAAAGGAAAGTATTGAGGCGGCACGTAGTAGGTGTGGCGAATTTGAGTCGCTGAAGTCGATGCAATACGAGAAAAATGATATTCGTGTGGTGATGACACTTACAGACTTCTGGTGGAACATGAGCAGGGACACCGAACTCGTCCCGGGGGATCTCTTCGAACTCGAAATCAGCCTCACAGTCGTAATTAGGATCATCGTAGTACGTAACATAATGATAAGGGTATCCTACATGGATCAACATCAACAGCTTGCGTATGTTCGGGAATGGCTACCTCCATTGTACATAGTACGCCTGTGTAGAGCCAAGCCCAGACCAACAGTGGAGTTAAACCACCTATGGCGGATCAACCCACGGTTCAAATGCCCGAGCAAACGGAACGTCATCCAAGCGTGATCAAAAGGTCTTCCCTCTTCTGCCACCGCCGCCTTCGAGGAGATGAAAAGTAGCGCTCGCCATGATGAGCGATTATTTATCCGATGTAGTTCTTCGACTAAGAGTGCGGCGGTATGATAGAGTATGTTGATCTCGTCACGCTCGGACAATGGATGGTCGAGCTCTGTGAGCCCTGCTCATGCTCCAGAACTCCAATGGCTCGAAATGCATATGGCTCTGATAAGTTCACGCCGAATCCTAGTATCTTATTCGTTATGGAACCGACATACATATCCTTCGTCTACATCTTCTTCTAGTGCTGATTCCAGTATGTAACGGTTATTCTTTCATCGGTGTAGAATTGCGTCTAGCTCCTAGTACTACAGCGAGGCTTGACGACATCTGAACGTATTATTCACTAAGGCTGGTGTTCAAGTCACACGTCACGTTCAAGTCGCCCGGCATGCGTCATGCCTGTGAACCGTCGCACAACCGTGACGCATGCGCATAGTATGGTCTACCTGAGCTCTATACGTACCAGACACCGCGGAGAGTAGATCGCTCATATGCCTCTGTCCTCTCCTGTGGTATATCGACATTTTGGAGGGCATTGGCTTGGCTCGGTCTGACGAAGCTTGCCCGTTCAGCACACCCATACCATTATTCCATGCCCTTTGGCTCGCCCTAAAACCTTCACGTTCTTGCTCATGCGTTCATCGTAGCTAAAACGAGAAAGGAGCCCCCCAACGGGACTCTTCTCATCCCAAGGTCGATAAGAGAGTACATATGCGATGTTTCATCACTCTCAATGCACTGTATGGGTTCCCGAAGTATTGCTCGTGCGTAGTAGTGGTAGATGAGAGGTTATTCTTCATCAAAGCACTGGCTCTAGATTAGCATCCATTTCCCCTTCATGTTGGCCCGCTCCACTATCCTCCTCCTTACTCTTGGCCTCGCTATGAGTGACACCTGCCAAGATATATGCGACAGTAATCCTGCATGCGCTCAGTCCAAGTTTGGTAGCTATTGCAAGAGCAATGGTGTATGCTTTGGGCTGTACCATCAAGGCTGTGGATACTGCTTCCAGCCTGCTGAGCAAGAGACCTGTGATGACTCTACACTTGAGCCTGTTGCGTGCCAGGGTTGCCAGGCAGCATGCGATACCCTTCCCCAGTGCAAGAACTCTGACAGAGGTAGCTACTGTAAGTCTTGGCAGACCCCCCCTGTATGCTTCGGTATCATCCAGAAGTCAGATGGGTCTCTTTGCTACCACCCAACTGACAAGGACTGCGAGGGGGCGCCCTATCCTTGCTAAGATGAAGTTCAAGATGAGCTTTTGACTTTCATTAAACTTCATTTTTATCCCCAGGGTATCATGTATCTTCTTTGTTGATGGAGAGGCTAAGTTACGATGGATACACAGGCAAGGGAGGGTTTTCATCTATCAACCCACCCATTAGCCCGCTTGTGAGCAACTGCCAGTCGTCTTCCCTCGTATAACAATTCTCTGTTCAGATCGTAAACTTACCAATTGTTCAAAAAGTTCATTTAGATAGTCATATCACAAGTAACACCCTGTGTTAATACTTCATATTCCACAGCGATGTCCGAACTACAATTTTTATTCGTCCGATGTAATTTGTCTCATACACAACAGATATAACTTGAGGGCTTTCAACGATCTAGGTGATCGTTGGAAAGAATGCTCTTGTCAAAAAGTCTGTTACTTGGGGATTTCCGAAACCTCTTTTGTTCAGTCGTTAATTGCCGCTTTCCACCTCTATGAATGATATGCTTACACAAAACGGGGTATTATCAGAAACACCAATACACATGCGACAGTGTCGTCAAGCCGTAGAAGTTGTGCCAGTATAAAAGCGGCCAAGTACTGTCTCCGCTTTGACACTAAATTTCGCAGCGTTTTCGTTCCCCTCGGCACCAGCATTCAATAGGGACTTGACAAAACCAGGATGGAATATAGGCTGATTTCCAAGATTACCTGGAAGCGATCAAGTGAAGCAGCCAACTGAAGCACTCTGGTTACCTATCCTCCTGGCCTCTTTCATAGCCTCTTCCGCTTGACGTAGCCAAGCCGCATCTCCCACCACGAACTTCAGCCAGGCTTGTGCCGCCAAGCATCTCGCTGGTCGTGGGCGCATACCTCCTTGTGGGAGCCCTTTGTGCTCCACTTCCTTAGCAAGCTCAACGTCCCCATTCATAAGAGCACACACCATGACATTGACATGGGCTTCACAGGGCAATACTATACCCATAGTGTCCACTGCATCAGTCCAGAGCAAGGCAACCTCGTCCGATTGTCCCGATGCACAGAAGGCTTCGATGGCCATCTCGTACGGTATACTGCTAACATCCATAGCCCAATTCGAACGTATAGCCTAGGAAGGACCGAATAGTCGGAGAACTCCGCGTAGGAATAATTAATTTCCACTCACCCCCAAAATGTCGCGGGTTGCATGAGCATCATCTAAGGCGTTAAGGCCGACCATCAATGCATGCAGCAGCTTCGGATTAGGAGGGTATCGCAGCCACTTTTGCCTGATTAATTCACTCTGTGTTGATTAGAAGATGGACAGTAGCGCTTACCATGCCTTCGTGAGCTCCACAGCCTGATCCTTCCGCTTGAGCTTAATGGCGCAAGCCAACAACTTGGTAGTGAGCACGGGATCTCTCAAATCTACTCCAAGATTATAATACCGATTCAGCGTCACCATGCACGTGCCGTACTCTATAGGCCTGGTTTGAAAGCATCATAAACCACGACCATTGATGAGGCTAACCTACGTTTCCGCAAGCCTAATGACTTCGTACAGCCCGTCGATTGTCACCTTCTTATGGTTGAAATGACCTGTAATAGAAATTACTGTGCGCACCAGCGACGCAACAGTGTGTTCTTGGCCTCCAACATTACCACTTTTTCCACAAGCCTGGTCGATTTCGTTGCCCTTGATCTCACTCTTTAACAGAGGGCGTTCAACGTTAATACGGTCCGGCGTGAAGGCAAGCCGTGGCCGAATGCTCCTAGCACGAAACATGAATCTTGCCGAATACCTACATGGTCCACCTTGGCCACCACAACACAAAAGCCAAACTCCGAGAAACATCGTTTTCATTCCTTTAGGGCAGCCTGTGCTGACTTGCTAGTTTTGAGGGGATGGCAAACAGCTCCTTCGAGCTTGTCCTTCTGGTCACCATCATGATCATCATCATCCAAGCGCCGTGGGTATGCCTAAAAAGCGATTGTTCTGTGAACTGGCCTTACTATCGCGACTCGCGATGCCTCGGTGTGCAGCCACCGTACAGAGTACATGGAAGGCATCTGAACAACTACCCTCCTGCACACAGCACGATGCCACTAAACTGTAAAGACAAACCCAACTGACCAGCAGGTACGACCAGTGAACTCAACTCGTGTGAAGCGAGCAATGCAAGTAAATGTTATTGAGATATTCATTGTGTTCCAAGATGAGCCAGGCTGCAACGCCTATCCTGAGGTCGAGAGTAGCTTGGAGAGTCGTCGGGCCTCAACCACCGAGTGTACCATGTTACTAATGTAAGTAACCCATCTAGCCTGAGGACACAGTACTGGCGCTGTGGTCATACTCTATGCTACTACTTGAAGGATCGCCTTCACGATTACTTTCTGTTGAGAAGCCCCCAGCTCTATGAAGTCCTCAGGGAAATCAGAGTCGCTAAAGTCACACAAGTGATCCCCGAGAAAGCGGCCACATGACGTACTCAGGTGCACAGTATTTCCTCTGCCTCTGCTTGTATGCTAACCTCTCCGCACCTAAAGCCTTCGACTCCTTCCTACACAGATCGTCGATGCTGGGCGAGCAAGCGGATGGATAATGCTTCACAGCAAACTGCAGGAAGGCTGACCTCATGACTCCATCTAATGCCTTCGTCTCACCCATTCAAGTTCAGCAATACGTCTAGCAAGGCTCATAGGAATCTTGAGGACCGCCGCGATGATCATAGGATCCCGACGCTTATCCTCAGGCAGGAGGTCTGGGAAGGCTTCAAAGCACAGAGCCAGAGTAACGACCTCCCTCAGGCTCTGCATGCCTATAAACATACCATAGGCTTGTGGTATGGTCAGCAACACTTACTCGGACTCGGGTCTTCGAACGTAATCTCGTCGAGGTTGTCAGTCGCCATAGCTGCTGTCGCAATATGATGGTACACTATCCCACCATAACCCTACTCACAAATGACTTTGATCGCCGTGTAGACCATTGACGAGCCCCAATCTCACCTTTCTCTGGTCGCTCGGCATGGTTAGGAACTGAGCAACTCTTATACGCCTCTTACCATCCTCAACAAGCAACGGGAAACTATATACAGATGCACAGGTCTTTATCCGATGCGTTAAGGCATCGCGTAAGAGGTATAATGTCCATCTAAGAACAACGCATATATGCCTTCCCCTTCTACTGGCCAGACCGACCTGCCGCCGATACCACACTCCTCCCGATCTCCATCCGTAGCAGAGGGCAAGTCTATGGTGCCACTGGCGTCAATGAACCAAAGCATAAGCCATTCAGCTCGTCGCCAGAATTCATACAGGGACTCCGGTATCTGCAATGGGAGCCCTTTCCCTAGCGCTGAAAAGTGCTTCACTGCTACAGTAACGAGCTCTAGTGTTGATGGCAGGGCCGAGGCATACGCCGTTGGACGTGGGATGGCCTTCAGTTTCTTCAGTAGGCTATTGTCTTTGCCGTTCATCCCCAGTCGGAAGGCCTTGCAACCGCTGTAGAAAGGCTTTAGTGTCTGACAAGAGGAGCAACCTCCCTACTGTCACTCCCTGAGCTGGGACTCTCACTAACGGCGAGAAGCGAGCCGTGTGCATGCGTGCAAGAAGAGTATCACAATGGCGCTTGTAAGCCGCCTTCATAAGCTTGTCATTAGGCATCTGACAAAACTTCCTCACCACTTTCCCAATTGGACAACACCATCTTACCTTAGGATGTTCGAAATTGATCCCAACGCTCAGGTCTCGGGTATCAACATCGATACGGATAAGCAAGGGCGTGAGGGACTTTAGCCACACAAACGACTCTGTCTCGTCAAAGGATTGATGAACCTGAACAATACTTATCCCTCACCACACGTGTAAATGCATTCTACGTAAGTCGGAGGGACGCCTTCCTCGGCGTCGTCAAAATAGAAGCGCATCACATCAACCACCTCCAATTCGCACACCTACACACATGTCTTTTTCTACTGTTAGCTGTAACGACCTGACCTCAGTGCTGACTACAGCCTCCTGTACATGTTCCTGTCCTACTACCCCCTTGCCACTGAGCCTCCTCTTCTTAAATGCAGGGCTGATACCAGTTACTCTCTGCTTCCTAGTTGGCGCTAACATTACAATGCTCAACCCCAGTGACTCAATCTGGGGGTAAGTCTGTCATCCTCCCGACAAGGCGCCGACTGGCACGCCTATTGTTGCATGCTACCCCCTACCAGCGAGCATCATAGTTACCGCGATTAGCATACGAATCCGAAGTCATCCGAATGCCCCTCTCATTGCTTCTATTCAACCCATCACTACTGCAGACTGTACACAGAGAACGCCCCCGAGATGTATTGACTCAATTAATGGAACTAACACGAGATGCAATCAGAAACAAGCACCATGCTCCCTATTGAGGACACAGTTGCAGGTCAAGCGTTGAATCAGAGAATAAGATGATCCTTCTTATCCCGGCAACTCCAACAACAAGAGGAAGAAGTTGACCTCAAGCATAACGCAAAAATACGGTCTAAGCATGCGGGTTCACTAACAAGTTTCTTATAACAACATTCACATCATCGATAATACAGCCATACTTCTAGTAACTATCGTTAGCAGTAGCGAAGGTCATACCGTCTTCAGAAGATGCCTCAGTCACCGAGAGTACAGGAGTGCGGTCCAGACTTCTCCCATACCGGCATGTCACGCGATTCGACACTGATCTAAACCGGGCAGGTCATGTCCGCTTCCAAATCCATCATTCCACCTTCAAGAGCCGCAGGACCCTGCGAGGAGATCATGATGGTGTCGACTACTCCCAGGAGACCTCCCGTGTCTATCGCTTGCCTCACCGAGGCAGGCCCAGCTCAGCGTCCCGCTCCACATTTCCCTTCACAATCTCCAATACTATCATGGTATAACGATCGGGATCACAGTGCACTCGTTTCGACTACCTCAGCATTGGGCAGGATATTCACCGTTGTAACTTACCACCCATCCCTCTTAGAGCGGCTTAATTCTGTAGACCGTTACATGCCTCATTCTGACGCACTGAGATACCCGTCGTGTACTCCCAAGAGCCCTCGAGATGCCGCAGGATATCAGCCACATACACCGGCAATGCTGTGCTCTGGCTTATTACGAAAATAAGGTCCACGGCTCGTCAGGGATCTCCACATACTTGAACACAGTTTTGGGAACGTTTACCGTAGAGTATATCTCTAACAGCTCTGGCCACACCGTAGCCTCTAGCACGTCAAGAGGCATGAATGGTCAGCCATCCTCCAGCAATAAACTATCGTCGTTCGGGTCTACTCGAATATCCTCGGAAGCTGAGTATACCACCTTCACTGAGGAAAGCATCAGCTTCCTGTTAATCATAAAGCGGCTGCTTCCTCGGAGTCATTTGATGCGGGGAGTCCTCGCCCGATTTCCATTTCAAGCATCGCAGCGGAGTGATCCCGATTGTCAAGTCAATCCTCCCAAGCCGCAAGAGAACCTCCGATAATTACGACTTCCAAGCTCTTTTGGACTCCATGAGCCTTGTCAAGACATTCCCCGAGCCTCGTGTAGGAAACGAAAACCCATTCAAAAGCCTATTCTAGATCATAGAAAGTATTATACACTGCAACGACATATAGAACTCGGAGAAACTGGATGATCAGGTTATGGGCGCGCGCTTTTTTGTTGAAGCAGTTGCGACCGCCCCAGTAATCGGTTACTATTCACCAGCAGCTACACTTTAGAAGGAGTGGGGCAGCTATGCCACCCCAGGATACGTCTCAGTGAAGTCGATTTCTCCAGGTTGGGGCAGCTATGCCAATGGTATCGTTGCCATCCTAAGATATGTCTTGGTTTATTGTCATGGCATCCACCGGAATGTGGAAATCGTTGTTGCTGTTGATAGGACAAATACCGCTTGTCAGACCAATTCTACTGCATGTTCGCGACTGGCCTTGGCATATCACATGGTGTAGCTTGACGTTAGCCTTGTTCCACATTCGAGCATTATGATTCTTGGTTCATGGACATCTTTGGGTTCGTAGTAGTCAAAGGAACTCCTGTACCTGGCAATGTTGGGGTAGATCAGGTGCGTTTAGGTCGAACTATCAGTTTGCGGTTGGTTTACGGGCCTTTGCCTTCCGATTAGCAACTTTTGATATTATTCCTGTCAATATCACTGATAGCCACGAGCAAATAACTGGTCCTTAGGGTTTTTATAGGAGTATAGTGACGTCGAACTGATTGACGGCTCTGGAATGTTTCTCCTGCTTCGCTCGTACGGACACTGCTCAGTGCTTAAACTGCGTTACTAAAGTTTTTCAGAGGTGTACTATGCGGAGTTCCAGGAGTAATAGCTCACTAGCCGTATCTTCCGACACGCCCTTCGTTACTGTTCCATCAGCCGATGCTGACTTAACTCGATCGGTGTAGCAATATTGCGACGTTAGGGTTACGTACATAGTA